TTCCTTTAGTAAAGGCACCTAAGTTTTCTTGGAACCTATCCCTCTCCTACTTTCAATTTTTAATACTGGGACGTTTTCTTATTCTTTACTTCATAGATGGGCAGATGACTCAGGCCATGTTTACCAAAATATTTAGCTCACTTGGCGTCAGTTAGCCTTCCCACCGATGAGCTACTTCAGGTCCATGAGTTAAGAAGGAAAACTTTTATTTGGCTCACATTTTAAGAGGACACAGTCCACGTTTAGCTGTCAGAAAGGCAGAAACAATGTGGTAGAAGAACATGATAGAGCAAAGATGCTTAGATCATGGTGTCCAGAAAGCAGAACAGGGCACGGTAATAGAGAAGGGGAGCAGGGCCAGACATAGACGCCAAGTCACATCTTTCTGACCCACCAAGACCAGACATGCCAGGCAGTGTGCTCCGCCACTCCTTTGTTTTTTTTTTTTTTTTTTTTTAATTTTATTTAAAAGGAAAATGAAAAAAAAAAAAAACAAAACAAAACAAAGCAGTGTAAGGGTACAAGTAATACAGAACTACAAAAAAAAAGTAAGAAATCATCAGTTAATAGATTACACATTATCATCTTAGAGATAGTTGCTCAAGTCACAGTATCAAAGTATACAAAGTGAACATTCAAACAGAGAGACTGCAAACAGTTGTGTTCAATGATCCAACCAAAAATATTAATATGGTCAGCTATTTAACACCCCTAAACACACTTGCAGTTGTATCCTTTAGTGCACTTTTTTCCCCTCTCTTTTTTACAAAAAAATTTACACATTTTGGGTTTTATTACTCCTTAGTTCTTATTACTTTTTTTGGAAGAGAATAAAGTCAAATATGGCAAAACAAAGCTGTCAGTCAAAACCAAGGATAGACAGAGTATATGATGTAAAAACAGAGTACAAGGTTATCAACAATGGTTACCATAATGCCTCTTGTTTCCTTGAAAAGAATTGTCTATCTCATTAGGTATTATAAAGTTGAACAAAACAGTAGAGAACAAGACCAATAAAACTTAAACATTGTAAACATTACAGGACTTCCAAAGGAGATAATAGTCAAACCAGAATGGGCATATTAGTGAATGTTATTGCCTTCAAAGTAGTTGCCTATACCTTCAAACTTGATACTATCATACAGAATGGAACAGAGTCTAATCAGTCAAAACAAGATAGTGGGAATATTACAGGACTTTGAAACAAGTTAATAGGAAATCAAAAAAAGTTATTGTAATATATCCTGCTAATTTTAAAAAATTTTCCCCTTAATTAAAAAACCATAAAAATAACTAAATAATTTTTTAATGAATAAGGGAGAGATTGAGATAAAAGAGGACATAACAACATAACAATACAGGTCAAAGCATGACTGTTTCAGCTCTCAAGACAATGAAGTTGACCTAATCAAGTTTAACTGTCACATCTCACCACGATGATTGTTATAGAGATGTACCTACACATAAAAGGAGGTCCATGATTCATGACTCAGTCTTTTGTTATAATAGTAACAGTCTTCATTCTGCTGGAGCTATGACTGCAGGGGACGTCAGCCGAGCTTCATTGCCACAGTACAGAAAGTTTGGGTGAAAATGAAGAGATCTTAATGATAACTTTTGAACACATGGAATAAATCCTTGCACCAATCACTTGAATTGAGCACCTTTTTAATTTAAGCCAGTTGCAATGGACTTGCTAAACAATTTGGATGATTACTTTCGGGATTATCTCCCTGGCTTATGGGTGACAGATTGGAATTATTTGGTCTTTGGTAAAGAAAATTTAGACTTCAAAATTTAATGAATAAGGAACACCTGTAATGGTCATGACATTTCTCCTTAGATCCACATCCAATTATTGTGGTTTTGAGCAGAAAGTAGAGTAGTGAGGAGGTGAAGACAGATTTCTGTTTTAATCATGAGAACAGACATCTCAAAGAAGAAAAGTCTAATTGTTCACACAAAAACATCAGTCCAAACTGAGCAAAGGAACCTGTGATTTTTTTCTCTAGTTTCAAAATAGCACAAAAAGTCAGCTGTTCTTTAGACTGTCCCTCACTGTACTTTGCTTTTCTATTGTACTTATAGATCTAGTCTTCTGATGGACAAATTCTATCTCAAATAGTAAGAAATAAGGTGATTACTGTCCCTCAAGATTTTTGGCACTTTGGAAAATCTTAATGAGTACAAAATAAATTTAGAGGTGTGAGATAGAAGCATTATTGTTAAATTGTGAATTGGAGTACGACTGTCAGAAGGAAAAAGATCATGTAAACCATATTTTAAAGGAGTAATTTCTGATAAGAGGGGGGGAGTGACCCTAAGAAACTGGAACATTCATCATGATAGGGTGCAGGGCCATCAATTATAATCTCTGTCATCTAATAGAACCAACTATTCTCTCATAAAAAAATTAAATTGAAAGAGTATCTTTATGTCTCTTCTTGTCATTTTCTTTTTTTAGTTTATCTTGCTAGGATTGGGCCATCAAAGAAGTCACTGGGAGTGTCAGGAGGCAGGAAAGAAGTAAGTGTAAACTCTGGAGATGGGTCGACTGATTTGGGTACAGTTAAACACCAATACTGTGGTCTTAGACAAGCTCCTTTATTTTTCTGTGTCTCAGTTTCTGCATTTACAAGGTGGGAAACAATAGTGCCAACCACATATTGAGGGAATTAAGATGACTCACACATGGGTGGCATGTAGTGTGCTAAGTCTCCATAAATGCTCAGTGTTAGTGTTCTTGTTATTATCACTTCAGATCTCTCGGAGAAACTATTGAGATCTCAGGGCAGTTTTAGGACTTTTAGTAAGAATCACTCAAATGAGTTATGGATTCAGATCTAGAACTCTGGCTCCTAGACCCAGCATTTCTCAATTTAAGATGTAAATCATTGTTTCATTTGCATCATAATTTTCAACACCAGTAAGGGAAACTTCAGATATTCCTTAAAATGAAAAAGTTATTTTTTAAAAAGGTTTGTGGTAATTTAAGCATATTATATTGCAAGCAATCGCTCATTGTCTTAGTTTACCCAAGCTGCTAAAAATAAACAACACAGATTCAGCAACATAAATAATGAGACTTCATAGTTCTAGAGACTTGTGAGTTCAAAATTGAGGCACTAGATAATTTGGTATCTGGTAAAGGTCTTTGTCTCCTTCATACATGATGACTTCCTGCTGTGTTCTTGCATGAAAAAGAAGCATGCTCCTTTAAGCCTCCTTTATGGTGGCTTTAATGTAATTCATGAGGGCAAATCTCTCATGATGTAATGATTTCCTGAAGGCCTTGCCTCCTGATGTCATTGCCTTGTGTGTTAGATTTAAACATATGAATTTGTGGGGACACCAACATTCAGACTGTAGCAGTCATCGATAATAACATTTAAATCTATAATCAGCATGATAAAAAACTTCTGTGTCATGCACCAAAAAAATAATCAACATGAATAGTGAAAAATATTTAAAGCAACTCTCTTGGACTGACTGATAGAAAAGTTCCTTTATTAAAAGTATGAAGATAAATTTTCCTGTTCAAAGATACAGCATAAAGTGTAAAAAAAACAGGTAGAAATGCTAGTTGGGCTAAGTTTCCATATAATATGCTGCAACTGGATTCTCAGCTTCATGGGAATTGTCCACGGAAGCCCACATTTCCCTTTAGTCCCACATTTCATGCTTTCTCTTTTCCTGCTGTTCTCCCCAATTCCTCACACCAGACTACAAATCAAGTGTTCTACTTTTTCTGGGCTCTATTGGGTGATAGTTACTCAAGCTAGTCCACTGCTCTGGGTTAATTGTGTGATAAGAACTAATGCCTTGCCATGCCATCCTTTGGGGATATATTTGCTCCCTATGCAAGTCTCTTCGCAGCTGATGGTCTAACCCAGAGGAAAAGGCTAATAAGAAAAGCAGTGTGTGGGTGTGAAGGGAAAGGGGGAAGAGACAGGAGCTCATGGCAGAGCTATTTCACAGTAATACTATCTCGGCTGGATGTACTAGACAACTGCTTATCCTGGAATCTCATAGAGCCTGATCAGAAGTTGGGCAAGGGAGTTTCAGTCTTCAGTTAATTTGTGTATTTATTCTTATAAACAAACTCTGAATTTGATTTGAACCTAGGCCCCTGTAAGTGAGCTTCTTCATAGCTAGAAACTAATTACTCTTAGCCAAAGTTACATCAAACTTTGCTGATTGTATCTAAGCTTTTGTTCTTTTCCAAAGTAAATGAATATTTTCTTTGAAATATCTTAGATATATTTTAAATTGCTCAGAAACATTTAATATGGCTTGGATGCTGTCATTGGAATGAAGGATAATTGTGTGTCAAAAATCAGTTAATTGGGAGTCAGAAATGCTGTGGATCTCTCATTCATAGCATCACGTGAAAGCTCATGTTGAATTGATGAAAATTTATAGAAAGGGATAATTTGGTTTCTCCACAGTAAATATATATGCAAATTAACAAATCAAACTCTTATTTTTGCTAAATGAAAATAGAACCTTTGCAAATGATTAGGAAACAAAGAGTTTGAGGGAGGAGGGAGAGAAGGAGAGATAGCGAACCAAGAAAAATTAAGACATAAAGCACATGCACGACTCCCATATTAAATGTTATCATTATGTACAGCAAACATATACTAATAAAAAATAAGAAAAAAAGAAAAAGAAAAATCAAAATGGTTTAAAAATGGGATAGTAACATTTAGCTTTAAGCAAAGTGCAGGTTGGTAATTTTTGAATGATTTTAAAGCTTTTGTTTTGTTAATCAGAACAGATTAACAGAATAAAAGTTTTACAGAATTGACCTGAGATATACTTACCCCTTATACCACTGGCACTTTTTATGCACAAATAAAAAAAAAAATCTGCCCTGCCAAGATGAGGACAATATTCTATGAGAAGTTACCAATGAATTCAGTAAATAGTTTCCATATTCACGAAGGGATACATACAGCAAAACTAATTGATAAAGCATAACTTAGATGTTAACTCACCATGGAACATTTATTATGCATCCATTGCCAAGGAAAAGCCTTAAGGATGTTGAGCCAGAGAAATTATTGAAGTTTCCAGTTTCACCAGAAGGCATAATAATTCTGGGACTATCCATGCTTTGCAAAACAAGATAATGAAGAATTAATTGGATTCTGTGACATATGTAAGTGATATGCAAGTAATATCTACTCAAGTTAGCATTCTTTTACCAAGCTTCTCAGACAAGGCCAGATGATTATATTGGAGAAAGAAAAAAACAAAAACACAAGTTTATGTAAGGGAAATATTAGTGTAAAAAAAAAGACAGATTCTTCCCTTCTAGTGCTAATGCAAGTGTTTGTTTCCAATAAAATATTTTACCTTTTTGTAGAAGGATCTCATAAATATGATCAATTGCCTTGGCTATTTAAACAGATAGTAATGTGTATTTATGTCAAGGTTTAAAATATCTTATATGGGGTTGGAAACCCCCATAAAACTTATCAGACAGGTTTTGGGACATACTTCTAGTGATCAAGACATTAAATTTAGTTCCTTAATTCTAATGGTGCTAATAAAGGACTGTAGGAAAGTCAAATTAAAATTTGTATCCATATGTGTATGTGACCGGACAGAGAGGAGATGTTCAAATAAAGGTGCCACTCCAGAGGATCTCAGCCCTTACATGGGTAAATCCCAGGCCCTTAGACCTAGGAAGACTTGGTAGATTCTAGTGTCAACCAAATGGCATGGATCTGCTTCAAAGAAAATTGGATGACTTACGACTTCTAGTTCAGTATAAGTCCAAGGGCAAGTTCAAGTGAGAAACTCTAGCCAGAAAAAGGCCATATTCCTCAGGGTTAGATCTGTGCTAAAACAGTAAATGCTGTCTCAGAACGTTACAGTGTAAGTGAAGTAGCAATGGTAGATTTTGCAATGTCAGCCTATGCACTGGGCAACGTGTGGCAAAATTACCTCCTGGTTTGTATTTATTTGAAATCCTCAGCATTTAAAGTGTATGAAGAGCTGCTGTATTAGCCTTCACTGGAACACAATACCTACACTCACAATTTAAAGGAGGAGAAGTTTAATTCAGCTCACGGTTTCAGATTCCATACATGGTTAGCAGGCTCTGAATCAGAAACCTCAGGATGGGAGGGTGTGGCAGGGGAAAGCTGCTTAGTTCACGGCAACCGTGAAGTGGGGGATCAGTGCCCGAGAGGAATGGGGTAGTAACTATACAAAGAACTCAAGGTTACACCTCCACGAACACCCCAACACATTCAGTAGCATGTTTTTCTAATCTAATTAACTCAATAAAGTTGAAAAATCAAGATTAATGGTTACAGCTGCTGAATTCATCAGAGACTCATCTACAAGTAAAATTGCCTACATATTTTCTATACATGCCTGTAAATATCTGTGAGCATGTGGTCTAAACTTGTGTTTAACTTAGGTTTTATTTTTCTCCATTTGTCTTTCAGAGTTCCAAGTAGCAGACCTCTACTTATAACTCGCATGAATATTTTCTTTTGGGATGGCTTCCAAATGGGTTTGATTAGAACAAAGCAATGCCTTACAGCAGGAGAAAAGAGAGTTGAGGTGCTGCCCTCCCCCACTTTACCTGTGCAGTTTCTTCCTTTACAACTCTGAGTTCTCATGGGCCCTGGTAATATTCTTTGCTTCCCTTGGTCTTCAGGTCCAGCAGTGGCCATGACCTTGGCCTTCATTGCCGTCACTGGCTTGTACACTTAACCATACCTGTCCTCTTAAGTAGTATCTAAATGTGAGTCTCTTTAGTTTATCTGAGCAAAATTATTTTTCCTGACAATAATCTGTTAAATTCAATATAATATTATAGATTCTTTCATTTCATGCAAGGCTCTTCAAATCTGATGCATTCAGGGATGAAGCATGTGAAACAGCCAAAGATAATACAATAAAAAATGATGAGCTTTAGGAAAATGAGAAGTTGTATGTCCTCTAAATCCATTTACATTCAACTTTCGTCCTAAAATTATAAATCAGAGAGCAGCAGTTTAAAGTCTCCAAACAGGAACATGTGCAATTTACATATGTAGAGTTGACCTATTATAAATATAGAGTTTTTGAAACCCAGTATTATTTAAATCATGGTGTAACTTTAGGTTCACTTGCCATGAAAATCAAATTTTAACTTAGTTGATACTGATGTTTCCTTAATATAAAAACATAAATTAAGGAGAGAAGGAAAACTAGAAAGAAAAAGTGCTTTGGTGAACTGAAGTATTAGTCTTTTATAATGTGGCCATTAGTAGTAAGTCAGCCCCATGCATAAAGCTTGTACAAGCATAAAGTTTGAGTTTCTAGGAAAGGGATACAATTGCTAGTCAAGTGTAGCTTAGTGCACCAAATTAAAAATACAGTGAATTAATTTTCCATCAGTAGTTTTTATTAAAGAGACATGGGTTGATGGCATGTTTCATACATTGTCTCAAGTTAGCACCTTAAATCTGAGCAGGTGGCTTTCCTGAGTCACAACCCTAAATCTAACAATGGAGTTTGTTTCAAATAAATCTGATATAGGTTGGGCACAGAAGTTGACATCCAGTGGGAGAGATACCACCACAAGATTTGTGAGGCCAAGGAAAGGTTTAATTCATCCAGGGATCTCTCTCTCTCTCTCTCTCTCTCTCTCTCTCTCTCTCTCTCTCTCTCTTCCCTTAGTGGACAATTTCCATCATCACATAAACTCACTGTGATGCTCCTCATCATAAGCAAATCTTTCTTGTCCTAAAATTCCTTCAGTTACTGTCTCAACTCTCTGCTGCTTTTCATAAACATTTTCTCAAAAGATCTGTACATGATGCCACAGCCTCTCTACCACTTTTCTTTGAACTAATGCTAACCCAAGTTTTATCCCCATTACTACACTAAAACCACTCTTAATCAAGTTTACTGATTGCACCCACATCACTGAATCCAATGGTCAGTTTTTCAGTCTTCCCATTACACAGCATAGAAGTAGCCATTATCGCTTTTCCTTGTAACTTTCTTCACTTTGTTTTAGAGCATATTTGTAGTTTACCATGAGGTACCTTCTGTGTCACCTTTGATTAACACCTTAGCTTATCTATTTCCATATGTTGGATATTCCCATGACCTTTTCTCTATCTGCATGTGGCTTTAAATATCAAAAATATCTCCTAACCATCTATTTTCAATGCCACATGCTGTCCATTACTAATTAATACCCATCTTCATTTGGACAGTGGGCTTTCAAACAACATGATTTCTTGATTGCCTATCTTCTCCCCCCAAAAAACATCCCATTCCAACTCAGCATACCAGTTCTCAATAACTGGCATACCCACTTACTTAGTTATATCAGCTTTGAATGACATTCTTGCTGTCTTGTTCCATAAATCATTGTTTCATTCTCTGCTATATCACCAGTATGTAGAATACAAGGTGGTGTGTTGTACAGTTATGACTGAATTCTAGTTTCTGGATATGTCTTCCCACTGTGTTGTCATGGTTAATTCACTGCTCTCTGAGGCTCAAACTGATCATTTATAAAGTAGAAGTAGTATCTGCATTGGCAGCATTTCATCTGGCTCCAAATAACAGGTAAAAAATAACTTTCTTTAAGGAAAAATAAATGCACTTACTGAGAGAATTTAGTGTCTCATGAACCAAATGTCAGTTTAAGACTATAATCATTTGAGAAATTGGAAATATTCAGAAGATTGCCCACCATTGCGTTCCTTTTTATTTTCTTTGATTATCAATTTTTTTCAGCGAGCTACTCTCATCACAAAAGGTTCAGTACCTATACCTTCCGCTCTGCTCCTAGATCTCAGTGCAGCACTCATGAGAACCTCTGCATTAGCCAGCTTATGTAGAGAAACAGAACCAATTGTCATGTAGGTGGGTGGATGAATGGATGGAAAAATGGATGGATAGATGATAGAGATAGATAGATAGATAGATAGATAGATAGATAGATAGATAGATAGAAGGATAGATAGATGTTATGAGGAGTTGATGCAGTTATGGAAGGCAACATTTGAGGTCAGAAGTTAGTAAACTGGAGACTGAGAAGGGCTGGTCACTAAGTGAAATCTAGTCTCTTATCGAGGGCAACCAAAAATGTACAAAACAACAAACCCTATAAATCCTTTCTTTTTCACACTATTAACTTTTTAATCCAATCATGGTATTTTCATATACAGTTGATAGGTTCAATATTGTTTTCTCTTCTAGTGGTATCTGTGATACTCAATATGAACACTGCCTTATTTTCAGCCTCTAAACTCTATTCAAAAATATTGCTTAAGATTCAAATATGGCAGACACCTCTGTAAGTACAGACATACACAACTGACACAAAGACCTTATTCTTCTGCAGCTCATGATTCCCTTGAGGCCACAAACTATTGTGTGCTCTATAAGGTATTTATAGAGGAATATTTATGGAATAATATGTTTAAAGTGCCATGAAAATTCTGAAGGTAAGAGATTGGGGATCTTGCTATTACAAGCTAGAGAATATCAAAAATATCTCAAGATCGAGACAGAAGAATGGGCAGCCTGTACTCAAGAATTAGCTTCCTTAGAAATCTAACATTGAAAATATCGGTATTAGGAGGTAGGGTTGTAATTGTTTCTGTGCCAGGTACACATTTACTGATGGGGATCTTCATTTTCACATAATTAAAGAAACATCATTATCTTTGGTTATTATACTTCAACATCAAAATAAATAAATTACATTTTCTCCTAATATTTCTTCCCAGAAGTCACATTATATTTCATCCTGAACTTTTTCTTTTCTAGTCCATAAGTTTAACAATTTGAAATACTTTCTCTCCTTGACACTGTCGCGCTGTGGGTTATTCATTCTTTTAGCAATGCACTTTGTTGTCTTCATTACACAGCCTGAATTCTTTTGCACGCTGACTTCCATTCACTAGTGGAGATTCCTGAACCACCCAGGCTGAGAAACCTTTATTGCCCACTTTCCAGCCAGATGAATCAAACCCTATATTTGGGCACTTCCGGCCACTTCAGACCTCTGTTTTCACAATGCTTCCCACTCTGCACTGCACTGGCTATTTGTTGACTCTTATATGCTTACTCTGTGAAGGTGGAATCATCCCCTTCATCCCTGATTTCATAGGATTAATGTAAAACCAGCACACAGAAGGCATTTGTATTTTCTAAAAGTGAACCAGTAATCTGGAAAGACTGAACGAATAATCTAGAAAGACTGAAATAAAAGCGGAACACTTCTCACAAGTCTAAAGCCTTTTTAAGGCTTTTTCTGATAGACCACCTCAACAAACACGTTTTCTTCAGAATGAGAATAGTCAAAATATATCTTAGTTAGTGAAAACAAAATCTTAGGAAAATTTTACATGTTTTAGTTCCTAGGAATATGTATCTATACTGTCCAAATGTGCTCTATATGAGCTGAAGACAGAATCACAATCCAAAAATGTCTTCCCATGTTGAAGAAATAGCCAAATCTAAGAAGATTAAATCCAACAGAGATCAATTTACTCTTTCCTATAAGTACATGGTGAAGGAGGGTTATAACTTCTCAAAAGCATAGTTGAAAAAGACATGAAAGTAAGTCATGATGCTGATATAAAGTATGAATAAGATTTGGCTCCTGAAATATTTAAGATGATCCTAAATTGTAATAGTAAAAGAATGATTTCTAAAATTAGAGAGGTGAAAATCTCATTCTACATGGTCTGAGTCCACCTTAGTGTGCTGATCTACAGTTAGTAACGTGATTGCTCAACCATGGGGAGATACAAAGATTTTAAAGGAACAAATTCACTTTTGGATTATTACCACACATATTTAGTTGTTTTTCCAAACCTGGTCTACCTGAGCAGGCGTCCACAGCCAAAGTTCTTCTCCGCTGCCTCATCTTGCTCATCATTTTTCTGTTCTACAAAATGAAGACATAGATCCCATTCACCCCAGGTTCACAATGATGTGTTGCTCAAAGTTTTAAAACACTTCATGTGAATCAAAAAGAAAGAAAAGAACAATGAAGCCAGTTATTCAATCAAGGTTAATTCATTCAAATATCAGTATTGCTCAAGTCATTACAAAACATTGTTTATTTTTCATTTAATAATCATTTATCAGGATTTGTAACATGCTTGTGGACTGATTAATTATATACTATTTTTATTATAGTGTGGTCTCAAAATTTTAACACATAAATCCTTGTCACTGCAAAAACTAAAAACTTAAGTTGATTTCATTATTGCAGGGAATAACTAGGTCATTAATTATAAGATTTTAAACATATTACATTAGGACAAACTTCTGTGGATGAAATGGGATGCTTCAAGAAGAAGTAAAAGTGAGTCTAAATCTCAGCGGAACATGTGTGTATTTTCAAAATGGACAATGGTGAGTATTATATCATTTGAGGTTTATAGTTACTTGAATGCATTAAAAATAGTGATGTAACACTTTTATTTTTAGAGTTAATATTTTCAGTTATGTACAATTATATCCTCTGAAACTATTTATACTTACAATGAAAAAGTTTTAGTTATCTAATTCTAAATGTTCAAAGGAGTACATAATTTTTCAGAGTTCTTTTGGGACTTTAATGGACAAAACAAACCGCTGTTCTGTGAATCACATTTAATTCTGAGCTTAACACTTTAACAGTGATTAAGAAAAATGAAAAAATAATTGATGTGTCATGAGATTAAAAGAAAATTTAAAATTATATAATATGAAAAATTTTTTTCTTAGAAATTAAAATTACTTTAAAAATCATGAAGGGGCTGGGATTTAGCTCAGTGGCATAAGCACCTGCCTTGCAAACAGGTGGTCATGGGTTCAATACCCAATACCGATAAAAGGTTAAAAAAAAGTTTTAAAAAATCATAAGTACTTGTCCTGGAGTAGAAAAAGATTTTTAGACCCATTACAGTGCTCTACATTTTGAGAATCTCTTTGCAACTCATAGGGTAGGTCAAGAGCTAAGAGGTTAAAATATGCATGTCTCAGTGTTTATTTTAGTGTGCTTAAGACTGGAGCTTAACTTCATTCATCACTGCATATTCAGTGCCCCCACGCAATGCCTGATAGGTGGAATATTAGTGAACTTAGTATAAGGAAAAAGTTCTCATCATTAAATGTTCCCCATGATTAAACAGATAGGGATAGGAGTTTTCCTCAAAGAAAACGATCAATTTTAAATTTAAAATGGCTTAACACAATTAAGTGCTTTGGGCTGGAATAGCTCTTTCTGGTCACCTCTAATTTTCCTTTTTCAGAATCAAAATAGGATTTCTCCCATAAAAAGAAGAAAGATTAGGAACCTAAATCATTACTAAAATTTTTCACAGACACATTTAAGAGTTATTTCTTTGTCCTATGTGGAAAAAATAATTTTCTTCAAATAAAAGTCTGTTTAACATTGTTAAGGCATGATAAGTTTGAGATGGATATCACTAATTACTTGGGACAGCATCAAAGATCAAATAAATGGGGACCTTAACAGGAGTCAGGTGGCTGTGTTAATTTATTTCTAATCATATTCCCGACTCACTGATTCAATAATTGTGGCCAAAATACTGAATTTTCCATCAGAATTATCTTAAGTACATCTAATCGAAGATGGCATCTGGATGCCTCGACGCAAGCAGCAGAAATTAAATTGAAAGAAGAACTGTCAGTGTCATTTATTTCCAAAGGACTAAGACATTCCCCTTTCACTTTTACTCTCAAAAATTCTGCCAAACTTTTTTTTAAGTAAGAAATGATACAATATCTATTTTCCATAGAAAACAACAAAGCAAGACAGACATAAGTTAAGGTGGTATAATTTAAGGTGATGGGAACCCACACAGCCATGGTCCAGCGGAACCTCAGTTGTCTGCTCCATTCTTGGACATCACCCTAATTTATCCACAGGGCTTCCTGGGTCTCTGGGCTTCAGGAACCCAGGTTGGAAAACTTGTACGTTATGGGTTTAGAGTGGCTTACTCATGAGATACCATGGACAGCGCATCCTCGCTTCCCCCAGTAAAGAATCAACACTAAAGCTAACTTTGTTTCATCTTCTAAAAGAGAAGAAATTTTAGGTTTTCAACCAAGTCAGGGTGGAAAATCAACTTTGAGGAATCTTGTATCTTTAGAAAACTCTTGCATAAGAGCCCTAAACAAGCTTTGTTAGCTACATGGATCTAAGAATCTCTCCAAGTGTCTTTCTGTAGGCTCTCTTTTGAAGTTCCACATTTGTTCATGCACCAGAAAAAAAAAAAAATGCATTATCATAATCTTCTTCACTTTAATCATGCAAACATTAATCTTTTAATTCATCACGGTGTACTTATTTCAACGGAACTTATTTCAACCCTTCTTTTCATCAGTTTTTATTAGTCTATATTTGCAGTACATAATGATTACATTCCTTGTGTGGAGTTGGTGCATCTCCATAACACTTCTCAGTGGTTTTTTCATTCCTCTCTCTTCCTCATCTGCCTCCTGCCTCCATCTCTTGATCCCTTTCCCATTTGAGAAGGATCTGTCTCCCTACTTCCTATTTTCTGTCTTTTATTTTGCTCTTTATTTGTATTTGGGTTTCTCCCATAGAAGAAACCGTACAATAGCTAACCTGTAGGTCTCTTGTGTTCCCGTTAGCATGGTCTCAGGCTGCTTCCAGTTAGCTACAGATGACTCAAGTTCATCCCTGAAGGCAAAAGACTGAAATGAAAATCTAGAACTCTGGGCCCATATTCTGGTTTTAGTGGTATTTTTTTCTTGCTTTTCTGTATCTTACTTTTGTACACTTTCTGTGGTGATATACAGCTACTATATACCACCACCCTGGAATATTACCACTCTGATGGCTATGATGATATGAATAGCCAACTTATTTTTTTTCTCTTCTTTTCTTTGTCTTTTTCACTCTACAGTAAATGTTACCATTTGAAATTTTATGTTTAAAATTATCTATTTCCTTGTGGGGAATATTAATTACTACATATTAATCAACTATTCATTCCTTTCAATAAAGCAAAAATAGTAAGCTTTTTGGTCATATTCTTTCAAGCTAACCTTTTTGTCCAAAACATCCTCTGTGTCCTGAGTACCTGATGGTTACCTGCCCTGGAGCCTTCCTGCTGGAGGGAGACAAATGAGGAAAGGGAGTCCCATCCCCAGGCCCAGCTCTCCAGGCCCCTTGGCCCTTTTGTGAGAGAACCAGAACTGCTGCTTTCTTGATAATGAGCATCAGTTCTGTTGGCCTCTAGTACTTGTGTGTGCTTCTTCAACTACATTCACGCTGCTGGCGTGAGTGGTCACTTTCTTGTCTCTTCTTACTCCATTTGATTTGTCTTCTTCCTTCTTTGAAACAGACTGTGTTGAAAATGAAAGGACACAGAGGGAGGAGCCACAACATCTCTGACTGACTCCTGCATCCATAGCTTTCTTGATAGTCAACCTTGAACACATAATTTTAGTTTTTAAGAGTCTATTTTCTTCCCTATATAATGGTGACATAACACCTAACTTAAAATAACCTGAGTGAAAACTCCTTCTTTAGATACTAGGTGGTAAACAATAAATGACAAGTGTCTTTGTACCATGTAGAGCTGTAACTGTTCTCTTGTCAAGAGGAATGGTATTGGACAATGTAACATACAATAAAGTGGTAATTTCTATTAAAGAGGTTATGTGGTTATAACATCTCTAAATACTTTCTTTGTAAGCAGTTTCTTCCTGGTAAAATTAGAAACTATAGCATGAGATAAATGAACTACAACAACAGAAAACATTTGGAATGACAGCTGATGCCTTAATACTCATTTTTCATCAATTGTATTGTAAAAGAGGCAGTATTACCTAAAATAGTTTAAAAACCATTGTTTAGAAAATAATATTAGTCATGCTTTTGTAGCACTTAGAAAAATAGATTACTGCAAAAGATATTTTGGAAATGTTACTATTCAACTATCCAAAGTTATTCTTTAATATTATCTCTTGAGAAATAAAACTGGGTTTGTATAGTCAGACTATAATGTTCTTAATTGAATTTCCCTTTTATATGCATCAACACTATTCAATCACCATTTCCATTAAGTAGTCCATGTATCAATAATACAAGTTTAAACAGTTTTTGAATCAGTCTTTTGGCCTTCTGAGTGTGAGACATTTGGCATCTGTCTCACTCACATGCACATATACAGAACGTTTCCAGGGAACAGAGCAGTCTGAGTGCTTTCTCCCACTCAATGAACCAATTTTCGTCACTTGATGTTGTTGGACTGTAAAGTACCCTCGCAGTTCACACAAGTCATCTGGACCATCAGTGTGTAAGGATCACGAGCAACGCCGGGAGAAACTGTGTCTACACAGTTGCCACAAACATGAGTGTGTGTGTGTGTGTGTGTGTGTGTGTGTGTGTGTGGTCTGAGGTGCAGCAATGCAGAAAGCAAACAGATAGAAAAAAACATCTCAAATGGAGGGAGATACAATGTTGAATCTGGGTAGCAACAAACTTAGTTTTATCTGCCTGGGTCAAATTTATACATCTTTACAAATATCCCAAATGCTAACTTACAGTAACTTTAGACAAAATAATGGAATTGGTTCATGCACAATGCTCTTCATCACACATAGCACACTTGCCACCCATCAATATTATCATTCTGTCTCACTCCATATTGTGGTAAGTGACCAGGGCCCTACAGCCTCAACTTAAGTGAGTTTATGAATTAAGAAGATAATTTATCAGCATTCTGAATGGCAGAAACTTTAACAATAGAGCAGAGAAACTTTCCCACCATGTCATGACTCCTGACTTTTCTCCAAGATAAATATTTCAAAATTATACAAGTCAACATTTTTAAGTTTAAGGAAAATATGGAAAAATATTCTGCTCCTCTATTTTTACTTTGGTTATGAATATTCAGGGGA